GGCCCGGGAGGGAGGCGTGCTGCAGGAGCCGCGGCAGCGCCTGGAACAGGCTCCCTGCGGGGCTCCGCATGCCTCGGCCCCGCGCGGCGCTCAGCCCGCCAACCCCTCCGCCGCGGCGCCCGGCAGGCGGCGGTCCTTCATGGCGGCCGGCAGCCTCCGCCTCTGTCCCAGCGTCCGCTCGGGGAGCCCGAGAGGGCCTCGCCGAAGGGCCAGGATACCTCGGTGGAACGACGGCCTGGGGGTAGAGAGCGAACTCCGGGCTGTGGACCGGCCAAGCCCGCCCCTTTTCTGCCGGAGGGGCGGGGCTAGCCGCGAGCGGCGTGCTGGCCCCGCCCCCTGTGACGTAGGGCTCCGCCCCGCAGCGAGCAGAGCCGCGGCCCTGGAAGGCTCGGGCTGTGGGCGCTGCGGAGGGGAGAGGAAGGCCGAGCGGAGGATGTGGGCCCCCGGACGGGAGGGGCCTGCGGTGCGGAGGAGACGGGGGCGGTGCGGAGCGACCCGGGTGCTCTCCATCCTGCAGACGGGCGCGCGACTGCCAGCGCGTCAGTGCGCGCTCTCGAGGGGCCGACCGAGGGGCCTGTGTTCCCAAACTTCTTGGATCCTCGCACAGGACTCTCTGGTCGTTTTCGCAGTTGCCTCTGATTGGACTGCCCAGTTCTCAGAGGCGCTAGCATTCAGGTCTCCTTTGGTTTGCGCTGGGTCCGAATTGCTACTTCTCCCACCTTTCTTTTCTTAGATGTACCTCCTTTCTCACCTGGTGAGGTCTCTCTTTGAAGGTCTAAAAAGATAGATAGATAGATAGATAGATAGATAGATAGATAGATAGATAGATAGATAGATAGATAGATAGATAGATAGATAGATAGAGACACACAGAGAGAGAGGCAGAGAGAGAGAAAGAGAGAGAGATGGAGAATTAAATATAAAGAATGGTCTGCTCTTAATGGGCATTCTAAGCCCAAGCACTGGCTTTTCAAAAAGAAAAGGGACTTCTGTTTTCCACCAGATGGCTGATCCTTAAGCTCTTTTGGGGTTTCTTCTTTTTATGCCTCTAAGTCTTTTTGCTTTCCAAGTCGAGTATCCTTCTTTCCTTCGAGCATCTTCTGAGTAATCTCATCCTGTCCCATAAGTTTGATCCCACTGTCTCTTTGCGCACTCTGCACTAGACACAGTTGCAATTGCAGACACATCAAACTCAACATTAGTATTAATCAAATTTGACACTGGGACAAAATACTAACTATAAACTGGTGTGGTGTGATAGGTTTATTGTTCAAAATGGCTTTTCTAGCATATTGACACTTTTGACATGTGCCGAGTGGGAGCATGTAGAGAATTACTAATGGGATCAGTTAGTGTTGTCATCCTGTCAGGTTTAAATTCACGGGACTTAGAGGCAGAGAATTCTCATGACCAGCAAGAAGGAAGCAGAGAATGTAACAGTCCAGAGATCCCTGTGAGACTGAGATAGAGTAGCGAGTGGTAGACCTGATTTACAACAGATAGAGCTGAGTGAGAACTTCTGCCCCACAGAGCCAGACCCACAGGACTTTGGCAAGCTTGCTTTAGGACTATAGGAAAGGTGCGAGGGATGCCATAGTTACAAGACTGAGAGATTTATAAACTATGACCTAAAACTTCAAGGTTGAAGGTCAAAAGGCCTGTGAGTACCTTGTTGTTGCTGTTAAGTGCTGCCAAGTTGAGTCTGACTTATAGCGGCCCTATGAACAACAGATCTCAACCCTGACCCCACCCTGTACCATCCTCATCGTTGTCTTACAGTAGCCCATTGCTACAGCCACAGTGTCAATTCATCTCAGTGACGGTCTGCCCCTCTTATAAGGATCCTCTGCCTTTCCAAGCATTATGTCCCTCTCCTAGAAATAACTTCTCCTGGTCCCTATCACCACAAGGGTCCCTATCACCGTAAGGGGAGGGACCACAATGTGGAGGAGGTGAAGGGGAAGGTCTCCCCTGCCGTGGAGAGGGATACCTAGGGCTGGGTATGGACACCTGGGAAAAATCTAAGTTCCCTAGGCCCAGCCACCAGCCATGCTCTGAGGAGCTACCCTGCCCCCTCAATTGTGAGCCAGAGAGAGGAGCAGCTGGGGCTATAAATAGGCCCCTTTGCTGCACTGGTAAGCAGTATGCCCTGAGTCACGATCCTAAGACAGGGATGGTGCTAGCGGCTGGACTGGACTCTGTAAGATGGGCTCCCTTGTTTTGGTTAAGGGTCCACGTGAAATGTTTGGTTGGGGTTGGGTTTTGTTTTGTTTTTTAAGCCTCTTGTTTAGAGTCAACAAAACCTCCTGGAGAGCCCTTGTATTTAAAAATTGGGCCTAAGGGATTATATTTTAATCTCTTGTTACTACATTTTGGAGAAACATTCTTCTAAATCGTACAGCACTCTTCTGTCAATTTGCTGCGCAGAGGTTATCTGTGATGCTGAACCTCGTGCCATTGGAATCTCAAATGCCATAATGGTTGCTCATGGTAGGCAGTGTTTGGTGGAGCTCCAGTTTAAGACAGGTTTGGAAGCAGGAGTGGCATCCATTTCCTAAACCACATGCCTGTGGAAACTCTATGTACTCAGAGAAACAATGATAGTTATAGAAAGGCTTCAGGTCTTTTTTTTTTTTCCTCTCTAAATTATTTTTTTTATTAATTTAGTTTGTTTATTTTTCATTTCAATGAACATCTACAGAGATTTTGGAATTCCATTCATTCATTTGTTCATAGGGTCCCTATGAGCCAAGCTCGACTCCACGGCAATCAACAACAACAAGACATAATGAGATGGACCTTCGCTATCCTTGCTTCCAAGGAGCACTCTGGCTATACTTTCTCCAAGACATATCTGTTTGTTCTTTTGGGAGAACAAACTCCATGGGATATTCAGTACTCATCTACAACACTGCAAAGGCATTAAATTTTACAGTAGTAGCCATGATTTACATTGTCTTCTTCCACATGCCTGTCTTTCACAAGAGCTCCTTACCCCAATGGATAATGTTCTACCTACTTGCACAAATAACTGACAAGGACACTTTGAGGGCAACAATAAGGCTCCTGCTTGCGCCTTCATGGCCTTCCCCTCCGTTAGCCATGGATTGCTGAGTCACATAGAGTCCCCTGAAGACACTAGGCCCAGAAGCGCTTCTTTCACCCTTCTCTCCACATCTCAGAGAAGTAGCTCCTAGCACTTGCTTCATCAACTCTTATCTGATAGTTCGCTTCCTCTCCAAAAGTTCTACATCTAGCTCTCTAATCCCACCCTACCTGTGTACTCCTCGAGGTTTGAATTTGTTCTTCAGTTCCTTGAGCTTAAGATATGCTGAGCGAGTTCGGCCCTTTTGATTTTCCGACTCCAACTCCTT